TTTCCACTATTCCACTATAAATACGGATTACCTCACGGACCTTTGGGCAATACTTTTCCGTGTCGCTTTTTCAAACCGATCATAAATTGCAATTTATATGCAGACAGGATGTTTTATATTCTCTATATCTATGTAGTTATAATTATAGTTATGTAGTTAAAGTCATGCAGAGCTCAAAGAAAGTTAACTTTTCACCGTTTATGAAACTTGGAGTCAGAAAAGAGCTCTTGCAATGCAACCCGTACACGCTCCCGACTTGGCGGATGCACGTTCTCGACAAACAAGGGTTAGGATGAAGCCGAACCTGGAATTCAGCAGTGGATCCTTGCAAGACAAGCAACTCTGCACTTTCGGATCATAGTACAACAACATTGCCACTCATTTTCTCCGAAGCTACTATTGTAGTGAGTGAGTGAGTTTGGTTGTACGCCGCTTTTAGCAATATTCCAGCAATATCACGGCGGTGGACACCAGAAATGGGCTTCACACATTGTACCCATGTGGGGAATCGAACCCGGGTTTTCGGCATGACCAGAGCTACTATAACCCTGACAACATGGAGAGTCCTGTGATTTGTCTAATTGAAACACATCATTCAGGATGGGATAATATGAATATACCACCACCGTCCTTTCAGCTATCTTTGTCAGGAATTGTTGCCATGGTACGCCGCTCCCCGCTTGGTCGCCATCAACGTTTTCTGTCGTCTATTAATTAGTGGTGTGACGATTCATCGATACGCATCGATACATCGATCCAAGGGCCGCCGATACAGTGAATCGATACAAAGTTTTACATTTTCGTATATCCCGATACGATACTTCAAATGGGCCACGATACCTCGATGTTTAACTTTGAATATTGCCGAATCGCGATATCTGTCAAGAAATAGGACTTACTTTTGTTTGATGATTAAAATATATGCTTCCTTATTTTCCCTTCAATAGTAAACGTTTTCTCGGAAATTCAAGCGTCAAGAAGTGTGTCAGACATAGCACTCGCATGTTATTAACATTCACAAAGTCCGTGTATAAACTTCAGCATCTCGTTTCCGAATGAACATTGAAAAACGCTGGCGGAATTTGACGAAATACTTTAAAATGGTTTTGCTTGATCTTAAGGTGTTTTATACTTGGTGTTAGAATTAAAGACGTTAGCATCGTGATACGTATCGTATCGCCACCCTTATATCGGGATTCGTATCGTATCGCCACCCTTATATCGGGATTCGTATGGTATCGCCACCCTTATATCGGGATACGTATCGTATCGCCACCCTTATATCGTGATACGTATCGTATCGCCACCCTTATATCGTGATACGTATCGTATCGCCACCCTTATATCGGGATTTGTATCGTATCGCAGCTTCAGTGCACAATATTTTGGCAATATATCATTGTGACTAAAATGTTAGTATCGTGGAGTATCATATCGCAGGTTGTATGCCAATACCAGCACTACTATTAATTGGCGATGAGGAGGGGTGGTGGGGTAGACTAGTGGTTAAAGCGTTCGCTCTTTACGCCGAAGACCCGGTTTCGATTCCCCACATGAGTACAATGTGTGAAGCCCACTTCTGGTGCCCATCCTCTTCCCCGTTATTTCTGGAATACTGCTGCGTAAAACCATACTCTGTCACTCACTCACTCTAGCATATCCCAAAGTGTCCCGCCTACGGGTTAGGGTTGCACGTTTCACAGATGGCACGTTTTTTCAGGTGGGCTGCACAAAGCCGGTTTCTAAGGGAAGATTTTGACATTTGTGTTTCTATTAACCAGAATTCTCTAATGAATACAGGTGCAGATCTGAATCTATTGCGTTGTGCAATTAATGTAATGAGACGATCTGGACAGTATACCATGACGTAAAGCAGGTTTTGACAACCCATGGATACAGGTGCCAGTTCACACACTGCTGAGAGAAACCACGTGTAACAGCAAACATTGATTGTATACCTACAAGGCGCTCAATAAACACTTTTGTTCAACCGAAAATAACGCTGACGCAATGCCAATGGCTTGCTTCAAAATCATTGTCCACGCGCTGTGGGTGTGGTGCAAACAGGAATGGTGCAAAAGACGTTGCCATGTTCATAACAACACGACACATATGTTTGGAGACGTTGTCTACAACAGGGCAAATCTCGTGCCTTGCCACGGACCTGTCGTCCACGTGTGACGTTACGTCAACAAGACAACCATATTCGATTGGTGCCTCTTCGCAATCGATACCTAACATGTATATTTAACGACCAGGCTATACATGCTGACTATGCAATATGTTATCTAGGTTGTGTATGTTTTAAGGTTTGACAACATGCTCTCCATGCCGCTCCGAATGAAACGCCTCTTTGAAAAAGTGGGGTAGCCCAGTGGTTAAAGCGTTTGCTCGTCACGCCGAAGGCCCGGATTCGATTCCCCACATGGGTACAATGTGTGAAGCGTATTTCCGGTGTTGCCCGCCATGATATTGCTGGAATATTGCTAAAAACGTCGAAAACCCCAACTCACTCGACTCTTGAACAAGTTGATAGAACGTCAGACAGAAGACCTTAAGGTCGTTAGTTAGAACCCGGGTGACGTGAAAACGGTTTAACCACATATTGGAAATTGATCCGTGAAGATCCAGGTTAGAATTTGTCTTCAGCATCCCATGTTTGTTGTAAGGCGCGACTAACGGGGTCGGGTGATCCGTATCCAAATTGTGGAGATCGATTCTCATGTTGTTAATGACTGGATTGTCTGGTCCAGATTAGATTACTTACAAACCGCCGCCGTATAGCTGGAATATTGCTGAGTGCGGCGTAAAACAACAAACCAACCAGCCAGCAAGCAATCAATCCATGGCTGCGTCATACCTACAGCTGTTAAATGATGCTGAATGTTGTTACCCTGCCTGGAGATCGGCATTAATGGGATAAAACAAAGAACGGTCGGTTTGTTATCAGGATAGCGTCCGACGTGGGTGTTAATGATCAACTGCCATGGCATCTCAATGGGCGGTCACATGCACATCGTAAAATAAGTGCAAAAACCTATAACACGACGCGAAACGGCAGTTAATAGGGTACATACGGTAAGGTACTCCCAAGTCGTGTCACCAGTTCATAGGTCCCGCACCCTTCGCTCCTAAAACCGGTATACCCTTATATGCCTGTCTTCACAGTTACTTGAATAACGGCCCGTGTGTACATTGATGCGTTTGAAGTGAAACACCTACCTGCAATGATACACGTAATCAGGCCCACCTACTGGCTCTGTTGACATAGCGCACCAGGACTCACAACGAACCTTTCTACACCTCCTGTCTGTCGCTAAATAGCGAAGGTTGTTGACGGTTTAGGGTTTTATATTATTGCGACTCTTCTGTTGGTGTATTGTTGTGCTGATGTTTGAGGTGTAGGGGAACACCTTGGCCAGGAAACTGCAATGCTAGGTTAATATTGACTCTACGATACGGCGCGCGCTGGGGCTTATCTATAAATACCACTGTCCTCAGGGCTGTTTTAATTATAAGTGTAAAAAGTTATATGTTTGTTCGTACTTGCAAAAGGATAATTTAGATATGTGTGTTTAAAGATGAAATTGCCACTCCTGGGGTACCGTATATGTAATCATTCAAAGTTGCAGGTCACTGTGATCGTACGTGGGTAGGATGGGGGAGAAGATACGCAATTTAGCTTGTCAGATGAAAGGTCCCAGTTCGATTCCCTAAATGAGCACTGAAATCAACTTGTCCCACCCACTTTCCCCCTCACTGGCTCACACTGAATATGGGGTATGATTTACCATATTTACCAATCTCTCCCCGTTCCTTTTCTCTGTCTGTATCTATGTCCCACACTTTCTCTCCCTAGCTCCCTCTTCCATCTCCTTTCGTGACTTTGAAGATTCAGGGCAATGTCCTGTAACACCAAGGATCATAATCATTGCGAATATGAGATTCGAACCCACTATCAGCGGATCTCGGCATGTCAAACTAACGCAACTTCACTTGTGCAGTTTGAGATTGGACAGTTTAGTTTCAATTTCATGCATGTCGGTCTTGTCCCTCATTACAAAGTTTGGTAAGCGATATGACTGCGCTGCCAAACATGCCCTCGATAAACTTGCCCCTGATCCCAAATGGAAATAATCCTCTGTAGTGTTTGTTTACCAGGTAAAATGAGATTTAACAAATATGGCAGGTAAATCAACAAACATTAATGAAACTTCAAGACATTCAGTCACCTATCAGATAATAGTTCATATTTCACTGTCTAAACTATTTGTTTTGGGTGAGTCTTCTTCAGGCGTCATTTTTAGCGGCTTTATCTTAACAGAAGGGGGTGGAATATGCATCCTTGCCCTACTCCAACCCACACCTAACCTTTGCCCCTTCAAGGTGTGAATACTGCTGAGTTGAAAAGTTCTACTTCAGATCTGTGCTATATATTCTGACTTCGTTATCTACGTTATGTATGTTCTCTATGATGAAAGGCTGACTGTGTCATGTTGGCTGTCTACGTTATATATTTTGTCTCTGCTGAATATACAACGTCATATGTGCTGGCATACTATATATGCTATATACGCTGTTTATGCTATATGTACTACTAGCTATGTCATATATGCTGACTACAACGTCATGCTATGTATACTGTCTATGCTAAAAAGCTGACAGAGTCATTTATACTATGTTATTATTGTTGTCTGTACAATATATTTGCTGGCAATATCACCTGTACTTTATGTACCCCTCTAACAAGCGCAAATAAGCACGGCTCCCACGGCCGAAGGCTATGAATACCCAATGAATTTTAAGAAAGAAATTTTAAGATTGTGGCTTTACTATTCTCTGGGGCATTTAAGGGACCCTGATAGTAGCGCAGGTTGCGTGCTCCTACGTTCGTGCACCGGGTATAAGAATCTTGGTAGTTTCAAACATAACCATCGTCAGGCATCGCTAGACCGTTTCTGTCCGTACTGTTGGTCAGGTAATGGTCGTTTCTGGTCATACTATTGGTCAGGTATTGGTCGTTTCTGGTGGCACTGTTTGGTCAGGTATTGGTCGTTTCTGTTCGTACTGTTGGTCAGGTATTGGTCGTTTCTGATCATACCGTTGGTCAGGTATTGGTCGTTTCTGGTCATACTATTGGTCAGGTACTGGTCGTTTCTGTTCGTATTGTTGGTCTGATATTTTTCCGTTTCTGTCCGTACTATTGATACTAGGTGGTCAGGTACTGGTCGTTTCTGGCTGTACTGTTGGTCAGGTACTGGTCGCACTGTTGGCCAGGTATTGGTCGTTTCTGGTAGTACTTTGGCCAGGCACTGGTCGTTCCTGGTCATACTGTTGGTCATGTATTGGTCGTTTCTGGTCATACTGTTGGTTAGGTACTGGTCGTTTCTGGTCGTACTGTTGGTCAGGTACTGGTCGTTTCTGGTCAGACTGTTGGTCAGGTATTGGTCGTTTCTGGTCTTACTGTTGGTCAGGCATTGATCGTTTCTGGTCGTCGTACTGTTAGTCAGGTACTGGTCGTTTCTGGTCGTACTGTTGGTCTGGCATTGGTCGTTTCTGGTAGTAGTGTTGGCCAGGCACTGGTAGTTTCTGGTCCTACTGTTGGTCAGGTATTGGTCGTTTCTGGTTGTACTGTTGGCCAGGTACTGGTCGTTTCTGGTCACACTGTTGGTCAGGTATTGGTCGTGTCTGGTCACACTGTTGGTCAGGTATTGGTCGTTTCTGGTCGTACAGTTGGCCAGGCACTGGTCGTTTCTGATCCTACTGTTGGTCGGGTATTGGTCGTTTCTGGTTGTACTGTTGGTCAGATACTGGTCGTTTCTGGCCGTACTGTTCGTCTGGTCCTGGTCGTCTGGTGCTGGTTGTACTGGGTCGTCAGGTACTGGTCGTTTCCGGTCGTCCTGTTGGCCAGATACTAGTCGTTTCTGGTCGTACTGTTCGTCAGGTCCTGGTCGTTTCTGGTCGTACTGGGTCGTCAGGTACTGGTCGTTTCCGGTCATCCTGTTGGCCAGATACTGGTCGTTTCTGGTTGTACCGTTCGTCAGGTCCTGGTCGTTTTTCTGGTCGTACTGTTGGCCAGGTACTGGTCGTTTCTGGTCGTCATGTTGGTACTGGGTGGTCAGGTCAAAACTAATGTTGCTAGAAACTATAAAGGGCGATTTTGATCTAGTACCTACATACTTCTAAAGTTACTGAACAAAACATGTTGGCTAGTGTGTGATATGTTATGCCTCCTAACTCTAGTAATCCGTGGGTTACCAATTTCCCGGGTTTGCTGTGTTTACACGATATGTCTTTTTATTGTCGTGAGTCGAGTCAATAACTCATTTCATAAGTACGTTCCATAAGTTTTCTCGTTCAGTCGAAGCGTATGTTTCTGTAAAACTGTGTTGTTGTTTTCACCTAGGCGTGTTCGTTGTATCTTAGTTTCCAAGAGACATGGAAGGAGTAGGCCCTCACTCGAATTGTCTTGTTAGTGAGTTGTAGCTATCTTTGGTAACAGCGGTTATACCGTTGGTTAACTAATTAGTTTAAATATTGGTCAAGGTCATCAGCGATCCTTGTCTGTGTCGATTGTGACTTTAGATTGTTTATGCTTAGTTAGAGTTAGCTGCTGATAATAACACTGTGACGTTTTTGCCACGTTTTCTAGAATTACTTTATTCTTATTTCCTATCACCCTATTCTCAGGCACACAGCTTCATAACAGTTATACGCATATCAAAACAAAAGTACGGTGCGGTAACATGCGCGGATCCAGAGGGGGAGGAGGGGGGGTTGACCTTCTCCGGATCATGTGACGAAACACCATTAAAATATTTCAAAGCTGCCTGAGCAACAGACATACAGCGACATGGATGCGGAAGGCGGAATTGTTCGCCCGCACATATATGTTGACCTTGTCATGCCACCAGTACATGAGACTTAACAGGACGGAGATATCCACAAAAACGACTTGAGCTTCCAACATCACTGGTCTCTTTTATGGCAGAATATATCAAAGAAACTGATATGATGCATCTATAAAGTTCTTTGTTCCTCTTTGAACATATTACAATGATAAACTTCAGAATGTTCTTCTGAAGACCTTACACAGCGAAGACGCTTCTTCTTACAGTGGCACGTGAAAGTGATACATTGTTATCAAAGGGTATATAATATATCATATCTCGCTCAGCTGAAATAAGAGACAACTTTCTTAAGTATATTGATTATGGCAGGAGTCGCGGTCAGTGTGACTCGAGGTTACTTTGACCTACTTGTGTGTAGCTAACGGGCACCTGTTGGCGTGCGACAACAGCCTATGGTAACTGAAATGGCTAATACAGCATCATAGCCATACCCTTTTCACCGAGGTGACAAACAGCCTTTTTCTGTGGACGTGTTACGGTTCCATCGTAGAACCTCAGTCAGAAAACGCTGATTATACGTTCAGAAATGTAATAGGTTACCCATCTATATCTAGATAAAACATGAAAGTATGGCATCCATGTTCAACACAGCTTTAAAAGCGTGTTTTATGGTATCAGCTGATGTATGCACCAATGTCAGACAGCCATGACTGAAAAAACCTGATCACCTATGCTTTACTTTACCATCATTTGTTTCAAACACCCAATTCAGCAAGTGACCAGTTTTACTAAAACTAGAGTATTTTCAAGACAACCATTTATGTTGCCACAGACCTGCATGGTTTTAGTAGAATAATCTATAATAGTAACATCGCCATGGTAGTGCCAGCCCTTGATATGGTGCTTTTTCGCCAAACCATTTCCAGAATAGGAAACTAGAAACGAAGTATCATATATTCAAAATGTGAAGTTGGAGACTTGGAATATTTGTTGCCTATGTTAAAATACTAACGTATATTGATATAAATCGAAATGCTGACATTATATCAAGATATCTGATTGTTCGTTCAGTACGGTTACTTCTGTTGAATTTTTTCAGTTAGGTCAGAGGGTAAGGTCATCGACCTGTTACATGGTGCCACATAATGGAGCATTGGGCTAATCTGGCGAGGGAACCCATAGTCAACGGGTTCTGTCATAGCTAAGGGACGCAACTCTAGACAGCTCCATACAACGCCTCACACACATGTCACCGTTAAAACGTAAATCTCTAGTGATGTCTTGTTTCTATCAATGGTGTCAGGATCCGCTTCTCGTGAGATCGAATCCCAGGTTGGTCGTTTCAGGAAAGTGGATTATGATGTCTTCTGCAATATGCACTCTCTTGAGCTTTTAAGACCATATATATATATATATATATATATCACGTCTGGATTGAACTGTAATACTCTGTTATGTACAATTTGCATCACACACCACAAACTACACACCACACACGCTACACGCACACAACACACTACACATGCTACACACCACACCACACGCACAAAACGCACTGCACATGCTACACAACACACACAAACCACACCACACGCACAAAACGCACTGCACAACACACACAAAGCACACAACACACTGCACGCACACAACACACTACACATGCTACACATCACACACCACACCACACGCACAAAACGCACTGCACATGCTACACACACACACACACAAACCACACACACACGCACTGCACATGCTACACATGCACACACACACACCACACCACACGCAAAAACGCACAAAACACATGCACACAACACACTCCAAACCACACACCACAAACACACACACTACACACACACCATACGCACACAACACACACTGCACATGCTACACAACACACACAGGACGCATGCACGCACCACACCACACCACACCACACCACACCACACCACACCACACCACACACCCTCCAACATTCCACTGGTACTCCAATCCAATAACCTGTCCGTCTACCAATAATCTATTACCGGTATGGTATTGGTATAGGGTGGTACATTAATCAAGTGATAAACGAATTTCTACTTTGAAGTTTCACCTGACTCGAAGCATCAATTCGTTCCATAATCGACATGTAATGTCAAGTTGGTGTTCTTTATTCCGCGAGGGCTTCCGTGATGGATGTTACATATCTGGATAATGCAGACGACATTTTAAATGCCAAGGGAACAATATGTAACATTTGGAGATGTAGACACCGCCGAGGTCGTCCGACGTCACGTGATTCAGCCTCACAGGAGAGCGCTGGTTATACCTTGCACAAACACGGCTTCTGTTTGACATACGTAACGGTGTCAACATGTCCAACTGTTAGCTCTGTACTTAGCTGATGACGTGATCTCGCGATGTTTGACGAGACCTTAATGACGGACATGTCTACAAGATTGAGTATTTGAGTTTACAAAGGGACATGACTCGTGACCAGAGCAGGGTTAACTCTTGGTACATAAGGTACATACGTGTGTGAATAGTGACGTGTAACATATTGTTTCGTAGATCCATCACGCTTCATTATAATGCTGATCGCTTCATAATTTAGTTACATATGAGATTTCTGGAATCAATTTTACCAGTGGTCGAAATAAACTCATTTAAACATTTTTCAGCGTAACTTCGTGATCTCGTGGAAAAGGTCGGTGGTTCAATGTCGCCATTGTCATACCAACATATGTTAAGATATGGTACTTGTTATTCCCCTGTCTGGCTTTCAGCATTGTGGGTACTAAACACGGTCTGGTCTGTTCAGAGCCTGTATTCTTGTCAGGGCGGAGAATCTATGTTCTGCGACATGATAACTCAAGAGGTGGTGGAGCAGGCAAGTGATAAGTATTCGCCCAAAGGCTGGGTTCGATTCCCCATATGGGTACAATGTGTGAAGCCTATTTCTGGTGTCCCTCGCCGTGATATTGCTGGAATGGTGCTTGAAACGGTGGAACACCACACCTACTCACTCACTCATGATATCTCTATGGACGAGCACCCTGAAACATACATAGCACATTGGTCCACATTAATACCAGCATCGAGACATGCATGCATGTGTGTGCGTCGCGAATTTAGTGCAATAATCTTCAACGCGTTCCTGTTTCACATTACCTCACCATTACAGCACCAGTACGTAAGCTTCTGCACCAACTATGATACAGGTGTTGTAATATTTGTATCAATAGCAGATACTGAGTGGAAAAAATACACGAATCACTGTTGATGTGATAATGGCGACACCAGGACGTCACACGTTGACCCTGTAAGTTTGCCTGCATGTGGCGCATCATAACAATACCCAAAAAAACTGAAACATTGTATTAGGTAATCGGAAAGAATGTAAATATCTTCAGAAGTTTGTACAATGAAACCCCCTTAAACCGCGAACCTGACTTACCGGATTCATGATTGCAGGCAGTCTACACTGATATACGGAAGTATAACACCATGTCTAATGGTGGCTTAAATCAGATAAACAAACAAGGTTTGCATTTCGGCAACAGTTTTCACCCTAGTAGCATGTATGTAATGTTTTGGTGATATCCTAGACTAACGCTTATTCTCTGAATGTATATAATTTTGATAGTAACAAATGAATCCCATTTTATTTAAAAAGGAGCCCCAGTGAGATGGGAATTTCAAGATAACAATTAGGAATAGAGGAAATCTAGACTTGCTTCATATAGGGCTTTAGCATGGCAAGGGGGGGGGGGGGGCAGTGTGGATCAGGGACTGTGAGACAGACTTACGAAAAACTAGTATCAAGTGTATGCCTACTTTTGTCCGACAGAGTATTAAAAAACAAACATGCATCATATCACGTGGAACAAATTAGCAAGAACATATTCACGCAACAAACAATATACCAAACTACGTGTACCAGAGATTATATTTCTGGAAATTACGTCTGGGTCAAAGCATACAAATAAAATTGATAACGTTTTAAAAATAAATACAAAAGAGAAGCATTATCAATAATACCCCCTCAGGCTTGGTTTATTCATAAAGCAATAAAGGCTTATAACTCACTCAGACCATGGCCAAGCCCTGCTGCCTTGGTGAACCTGAAAACCATTAAGCGGTTATAATGTATGGATATTCTGTTAAATAACTGTAAAAAACATTTAATTGGTACACATATAGATTTTTTTCTCCTCCTCATTATTGTTTTATTAATCTGAAATTGCCTCGGATTTGGAGACACAACGGTATTTTCCGCTTCAGTCGGTTGCCAATGTTGGATTTATTAAGCTTAGTTTGTTTAGTGGAACTCTCCAGTCAAACAAAACTAATACAAGCTTAATTGATGAGAACTAAATACTTGAATATCTGGCCTAAATGGACGGTATCGACCAAAGTCGAGTTGTGGCCACAATCAAGAAGATTTTCAATAAGTCCTCACTAAACCCTTGTATAGAATGGTTATTCAATACCCGCACAATGGCTGCCTTGTTTCTCTGCTTCATCCGGTGATGGTCGTTAATGGCTCCCATCGTGGAATACATAATAATATACCCCGGACAGAATACGCTGCGGTTGTGATTATTGTCGGGGCAACATTTGAAATCACGACGGGACACTACAGCAAAATGACGGTACCCTGCCGTCACATCATAACAAGGGGGAGGTCCCTGCAACAGCGAGGCTTAATACTATAGTGGATGTTGCTTTAGGAACCTTTGAAATAATGGAGGAACACCAGAATAAAATAACGGTACCCCTTCCCGTTACAGTATGATAGGAAGGAGCGGGGATGGTCCCTCCAACAGCGAGGTCTTATGATGTTGTTTTGACAACATGTGAAATAACGGAAGGACATTACAGTAAAATAACACTATCAGGGGGAGGTACCTGCAACAGCGAGATTTCATCCACAAGTAATTGCTGAGCAAGGGACATATGAAATAACGAAACGACACAGCAGTAAATTAACCGTACCAGACAGACCACACGCACGCACGCACGCACGCACGCACGCACGCACACGTACGCACACGCACACACACTCTTCTTTTCGTTATTAAGATCAGCCAGTTCGTTTTACAAGCTGATTTGAAGCGCACGTGTTTAAATTATTTTTCAACTAGTTGAAGTAATTGTTTTAACGACAAACGAAATCCAGATAGGAGTTACCGTACCGCTAGCCGTCCCAGCATCACGAGGGAAGATGACTGTAACAGCGAGGGTTGGAATGACTACAGAACTGGTTTTAACGTTAGCAATATACATCATTGAATTACCACATTGTTCCCATCTGGAGATTAGAAAATTTGAGATTTCACTGTTACCAGCGAATGACTTAATTACTAAGCTACAGTACTGATGAAAAACTAAATCGGTGATGGCCGAATCACGTGACGAACCAGAGTAATAGGCTCGAATCTTGCATGTTCCACACTTACTGCTACGCTATATGTCTACAAACTTGCTGATACAACGGAAACTACGACCACACACGCAATACAATACAAAAACTTCAAACAGCTAACGCCATGTTGTGTCAAGGTCAAGGCCGCGTTCACCAAGTGCACGAGAGCAGATGACGTGTGCAGTCGTGACAGATGATGTAACGGTGCATGCATGTTAAGGACACATCATCACAGGAACAGCATCAACAGCGTCAATCAATACACTGCCCGATAATTTCACCCTGATTCAAAGCATTTTTTGGCTTTCAAGAAAATTATTCCATTCGTTCGAAGTCCTTAAGCTGCACGAGATGCACTGGACCACGTGGTTCATCCTCACGCTCCGTTTAGCGCGTTAGTGAGTTTTTTCGGTTATGTCACGTTGCTGTGACGACTAGCGGTTGACGCTTTCAACAGCATTTCAGTTACACCACGGAGTGTGGGCTTGATATGGGAAGAAAACCCGAAGTAATGCAGGACTGTTTTTATGAAGCCCATTCTTTCCTTCCCTTCAAATTGCTGGAATATCATTTAATGAAAGCTTCACTTGTGACAATCTGTCCGTCCTTTCTTATTCAGAAATCATAGTTTTGATCATAAAAATGAAAACAAAATCAGCCTATTGCAAATCTGAGATTTGACTTTGTTTTGGTAACTGGTGCTGAGTGAGTGGGTGGGTTTTAGTTTTACGCTGCTTTTAACAATATTCCAGCAATATCGTGGCGGGGAACACCAGAAATGGGCTTCACACATTGTACCCATGTGGGAATCGAACCCGGGTCATCGGCGTGACGAGCGAACGTCTTAACCACTAGGCTACCCCGGCAGGTCTTAGACGTCTGGCTGACCTCTTCCACAGCTTGGGTTATCCGGGGTAATAATGTGTTAATGCGCTTTCAGCATACCTTCATGAGGTATACTTACAGCGCGATATAAGTGCTATTGTTATTATTTATTATTATATTCCAAAGTATTTTACCAAATTCTAAATTGCCAATCAAACAGATGTTATAATGGCTATTCTAGCGTTACTTTAGTTTCACTGACGCAAAGTAATGCAGTGACCGTCATTCCTTTTAATTCTCAGTTAGAAGAATTACTGAACAGTATTTATGCTATATCAGGACATGTCAGCTTGATGTGGGAGTTGAGTGAGTGAGTGAGTTGGCTTTAACGCCGCTTTGACCTGTGTTCCATGTATATGACGTAATGTGGCTATTGAGGTAATGATTTAGCTAACCAACCAACAATACGGCAAAAGATATTCATCCAAATTAGCTTGCAAGAACAGAAACGAAATAAGGTCGAAAATCAATAGCACTTCAATACTGCAAAATATCACTTTCATCAAACTGATTAGCAAAACTGGGAGAAGCCACGAAACAACATGGAGGTGACATTTCAACGTTCGCCCTACCGTCATTATCAACCATCTGGGAACACAAACCTGCTGTGGCAGCTCTCATCACTGTCTGCATTGCGTGTGCACGTATACGCTGCATGGAGCTTTATTTGTTGATTCAGAAGCAACGCGACCGGCATGACCTATAATGTCGACATGTTCGATACGTTGTATTAACACCACGTGTAGACACGTCTAAGTCGATGAAGTGGCTGCAAGATGTAAAGGTCGTAAACGATGAGAGAAAAACACAAGGGAGTATTTTTATTATATCTTTGCGTCAATATTCATATTATTTACAGCAGCTCAGGTGTGTTGGGCGGATAATAACTACCCAGATATTTATAACGAAAATCACTAACGACAATTTCTCAGCAAAAGAAATGTATATCTCGACAGATGTGACTTGCATACAAACAGAATTTGCAGTGAAGCGAGATAGAAGTGACAAAGACCTTTCCGCACCCATAAGAGATCTCAGCTAAAGCAGAGTCGGTTGTACCAGAGACCATATAATATATCTATTATATGGTCTCTGGTTGTACAACTGTGACCATATCATTAGTACATGTTTGTTTCAGCGGGATTACAGCTGTACGATGTTGTTTTTAAACAACATTCTGAAGCCATTTGTGCGCTTAAATTTTCTCAATTAAGATTTATGTGTTGAAGTGTTTTAGGTTTTGAAATAAAACACCACAGGGGATACCAGAAATGGACTACCACTGGTCTGGACTGGTACAGCAGCCATACACACGTATATGCACGCCTCTATTCAAGAAGAACACTCTTGAACACAACGTTTGTTCTGTTGTACCTGGTCTCACGTCATATTTCTAAAAACATATATGCCAGGTCTTGTTGTTAAAGTCACCCCTGCTGAGTCACCCCGGCCACAGAAAGCATGCTGAAGGTCAAGACATCCCACGTGTGACACGTTATGTCACGTTGAACGGCCACAGAAAGCATGTGGAAGGTCAAGCCATCCCACGTGTGACAAGTTATGTCACGTTGAACGGCCACAGAAAGCATGTTGAAGGTCAAGACATTCCTGGTGTGACAAGTTATGTCACGTTGAACGGCCACAGAAAGCATGTTGAAGGTCAAGACATCCCTTGTGTGACAAGTTATGTCACGTTGAACGGCCACAGTAAGCATGTTGAAGGTCAAGACATTCCTGGTGTGACACGTTATGTCACGTTGAACGGCCACAGTAAGCATGTTGAAGGTCAAGACATTCCTGGTGTGACAAGTTATGTCACGTTGAACGGCCACAGAAAGCATGTTGAAGGTCAAGACATTCCTGGTGTGACAAGTTATGTCACGTTGAACGGCCACAGAAAGCATGTTGAAGGTCAAGACATTCCTTGTGTGACAAGTTATGTCACGTTGAACGGCCACAGTAAGCATGTTGAAGGTCAAGACATTCCTTGTGAGACAAGTTATGTCACGTTGAACGGCCACAGTAAGCATGTTGAAGGTCAAGACATTCCTTGTGAAACAAGTTATCTCACGTTGAACGGCCACAGTAAGCATGTTGAAGGTCAAGACATCCCACGTGTGACACGTTATGTCACGTTGAACGGCCACAGAAAGCATGTGGAAGGTCAAGCCATCCCACGTGTGACAAGTTATGTCACGTTGAACGGCCACAGAAAGCATATTGAAGGTCAAGACATTCCTGGTGTGACAAGTTATGTCACGTTGAACGGCCACAGAAAGCATGTTGAAGGTCAAGACATTCCTGGTGTGACAAGTTATGTCACGTTGAACGGCCACAGAAATCATGTTGAAGGTCAAGACATTCCTGGTGTGACAAGTTATGTCACGTTGAACGGCCACAGAAAGCATGTTGAAGGTCAAGACATTCCTTGTGTGACAAGTTATGTCACGTTGAACGGCCACAGTAAGCATGTTGAAGGTCAAGACATTCCTTCTGAGACAAGTTATCTCACGTTGAACGGCCACAGTAAGCATGTTGAAGGTCAAGACATCCCACGTGTGACACGTTATGTCACGTTGAACGGCCACAGAAAGCATGTGGAAGGTCAAGCCATCCCACGTGTGACAAGTTATGTCACGTTGAACGGCCACAGAAAGCATGTTGAAGGTCAAGACATTCCTGGTGTGACAAGTTATGTCACGTTGAACGGCCACAGAAAGCATGTTGAAGGTCAAGACATCCCTTGTGTGACAAGTTATGTCACGTTGAACGGCCACAGTAAGCATGTTGAAGGTCAAGACATCCCTTGTGTGACACGTTATGTCACGTTGAACGGCCACAGTAAGCATGTTGAAGGTCAAGACATTCCTTGTGTGACACGTTATGTCACGTTGAACGGCCACAGAAAGCATGTTGAAGGTCAAGACATTCCTTGTGTGACAAGTTATGTCACGTTGAACGGCCACAGAAATCATGTTGAAGGTCAAGACATTCCGGGTGTGACAAGTTATGTCACGTTGAACGGCCACAGAAAGCATGTTGAAGGTCAAGACATTCCTTGTGTGACAAGTTATGTCACGTTGAACGGCCACAGTAAGCATGTTGAAGGTCAAGACATTCCTTGTGAGACAAGTTATGTCAAGTTGAACGGCCACAGTAAGCATGTTGAAGGTCAAGACATTCCTTGTGAGACAAGTTATGTCACGTTGAACGGCCACAGTAATCATGTTGAAGGTCAAG